TCCCTCTCTAAGGACTGGTCTCTCCTCACAACATGTCCAAAGTATGTTAGACGGAGCCTCAGAATCCTTGCCTCCAAGGAGCCACTCGGTTTAACCCTATGTTTCAGAAATAAAGGGAGGGGGAAATAGGAGAAAATAGACAGTTTCATCTGAAATAAGCAGATGTGTGATTATGATGAAAAACTTGCCAAGTTTTTTGTCAGCCTCTGTAGAACCCAAAGCCTAGGTGCCTCTTTGGGTTCATTTTCAAAACACACATGTGCTTCCAGAGTTGATATCTTTGACAATGACATGTAGGACCTTTGATGTTCACAGCCACTAAAAACTCCTGCCTCTAAACCTCGGGTCATCTGGAGTGCTGAAGCATTGCTGAGTGGTCTCTTCTGCAATGTGGGAAACATAATTTCTTTGTTTCTTCCACTCTGTGCAGATACACAGTACTGCCTGACAGTTCATCACTTCACCAAGCATGGAAGAAGCACAGCCATCACCAAAAAGTGCGCCTCCAAGAGCGAATGCCATTTTGTTGGCTGCCACAGCCTCGATTCTGAGCATACGGTAAGGTGAAAGAGACAGAGAGAGGGAGAGAGGCGGGGGGAGCGAAGAAAAATAGAAAAATGGAGAAGAGGGGAGAGAGGGAGAGAGAGGGAGAGAGAGGAAGAGGGGAGAGAGAAGAAGAAGAAAAAGGGAGAAGGGGAGAGAGAGGATATATAGTTTCTGGGCATATGGTAAGGGAGGGGTGTGTTTGTGTGTGTGTGCAGTTACTTTTTAAAGGTTTCATGCGCATGTTAGGGATGATAAGTTATGTGTCATGGGGAAGGCTAGAAGGATAAGACATTTCAATCTTATTTCTATTTTGAAGAAAGACCAAATAATATACAGTGGTGAAATGGAGACCAAAGAGACAAAGATGACCTGTGTCCATCAACAAGGAGAACCAAATCATCATAAAAAAATGGCAATCCTAGGGTTGAGGCCTCTGCACTAGACTTTGAACTTCTGGTTAAGCTGTCTGAGGCCAACTTCAGTGGCCTGAGAGCAAGCCATCCGTGTGAGCATGATATACTTCAGTGCCCAGCTCACCTCTGTTCTTGACTTGGAACCACCAAGACCACTCACTGTACTGCAAAGCAGAAGGTGGAAAGACTTAGTGTGACACTCGGTGACACCTTCACTACAGGAAGCCTTTTCTTACCCACCACCTCTGCTTAGATGAGGAAGTAAAAGTCTACAAGGTGGACCTCAGTCTAATACAGTGAACTCTTGAGGCACTTGAGATCATGTCTCACTTTAATTTTTCTCATTTCTATAAATATCAATGACCATTTTACTCTTTTATATGACAGTGACACAGAAATGGTGGAGAAATGAAAAAAAAACACAACACTTGGAAGTGTGTTCATTTCATGGGGTGCTTCTATTTGACTTAACAAAGAAAAGTACATAAAATACTTGTGGTATTAGTGACTTTGATATACATCTGAGAGATGGAAAATGAATGAGGATGGAAGAAGAGTCCATGCTTTTGAGCTGTGGTTTTGGAGAAGAGTACTGAATATCCCATGGACTTCCAAAGAAACAAACAGGTCTTGGAGAACGTGAAGCCAGAGTGCTCCTTGGAGGCAAAGTGGCAAAGTTTCAGTCTCACACACTTTGGGCGTGTTGTTAGGAGGGCTATTCCTTGGAGAGGGACATCATACTTGGAAAAGTAGAGAGTTAGCAAAAGAGGAAAACCCTCAACAAGATGGATTGATGCAGGGACTGCAGCAGTGGGCCCCAGGGTGATAGAGATTGTGAGGATGGCACAGGGCTTAGAACTCTTGTTCATTGGGTTGCTGTGAATTGTACTCAACTCAACGGCACCTAACAACAACCGCTATGAGATGTGCTGCCAACTTAAAGGCAGGCAGTTCTAATCCACCTCAGGAGAAAGATGGACATTCTCCTCCCAGGAGATTTACAGCCTCCGAAAATTCATGGTAGGGTGAGCTATGAGTTGATTCTGACTCCCTGATGCACAACAAAACCTGTGAAGTCCACTGAGGAGCTTCTGTAACAAGTCTGCTTGTCTTTGGGAGCTGTCAGCCCAGAGCAGTTAAAACAGAGCCAGGTGTGGGGGGGGGGGGGGGGGAGGATCTGAGCATCAATATTTTTTATAAATTCTCCAAAGTGATTCTGGAGTACAGCCAGCATCAGGATTCATTGACTGAGATGCTTGAAAATTGTGGGAGTGCATGTTGAGTGCACACCACCCCCACAACCCTGTTGTGATGACAACTCCATCAAGTTGTCTTAACTGTAATCTCTGCAGAAACAAACCAGAAAGTCCTTCTCTCATAGTGCAGTTGGGTGAATTTGAACCACTAACCTCTAAGTTAAGTTGTTGTTATATGCTATCGAGTCAGAACCAACTCACAGTTAACCCTGTGGTGGGTTTTTAGAGTCAGTAAATGGCATAGGAGGAGATTGCCTGTTTTTCTTCTGTGGAGCAGCTTGTGGTTTCAAACCACCTGGCTCTGACTGGATCTCCAAGCACAAATCATTTGTCCCATGCCGGAACCTTACAGTGAACATGTTTATCTTTCCTAGATATTGCAGAAGCCTCTTTTCATAGCCCGTTTTATCAAGTGAAGGCTTTGCACCAGGCACTTGTAGGTATTAGAATAGGAGATTGCTTTTCTTGGAAACATTTGTAACCTTGTTCTGTAAAGCCACCCAGCCCTTTTCACAACTCAGCAGCCAAAATTAGTAAGCCGTTCCTGCTGTAATGATAGGAATCAGGTGTTAGCATAGAGAATGGAGAGTTGTTAATAATCCCCTAACAAGGAGCACCGAGAAAGAAAATCAATGCCTAATCCAGAAAGTTCCTAGCTTTCATTTTGTGTCATTGTTTCCCCCCTACAAACCTTTGGAAGATTTGTTGAACCAATCAAGCAGTTGTATTCTGTTTCCCTTCCTCTTTCTTCCTGTGCTTACAGTTGAGTTTGACACAAGTAAATCACAGTTAGGATGAAAAGATTCTCAAGCTGGTCTTTACCCAGTCGGTGGGGGAAGGGCACAATAGGAGCCAGCAACCACAGACTAGAATCTCATGTCTAATTGCATCTGCAGAGAGCTGAGGAAGCCTTCCTTCCATAGGCCTTTGTTTTGTCACTTTCTCTACCATTCCTGACATTTACCCTTTCTCCCCTCTTTTTCATAACAGGAGTGCAAGTCTTGCTGTGAAGGAATGATCTGCAATGTTGAGTTACCCACCAATCACACAAACGCAGTCTTCGCAGTGATGCATGCCCAGAGGACGTCAGGCGGCAGCATTCACACGCTCTACCTGCCAGCACTTGTCTGGGTCTCCATGCTGCCACTACTATGACCCCACCACTCCTTGGAGAGACAGACACCAGCCCTCCACAGCACAAGCTTAAGAACTGTCTGAGCAGTGGACTTTGGAATAAAGATCAAGTTTGCACCTGGTAAACAGCACCCACTGGACCCCAGAGCAGAGCCAATTGTTTGCTGTGCTAACATGCTCATGTGTGAGGTCACAGGACTGGGAGGAGGGGATAATTTCCAGGTTTCTTTGTCAGAGGGGCTGCCTATTGTCAATTCTTCAAGAAGGATCCTGTCAGCATCTTTATGGGTTGCAATAGCCTATCTGTACTGGGTAGAAAGCCATTGCCTGATCAGGACCTTAGCTAAAAGTACTTCTTGACCCTACCAAATCCCTCTGAGGCTGCTGGGTCAAACCCTCTCAGTTTTGTGATGAGTTCAGAATGCGACTATGAAATCTCACCTTACCCCAGAATGAGAAAGCAATTCCCCACCAAGGATATAGTGAACGGACAAGGTAACTGTTAAGAAAATGTCCAGTTGAACAAATATGCTGGTTGTTGGAGGAGATTGAAATAAAGCTTTTAAATTATACAGTGTAAGGCAATGTTTGTGTTTCTTGACTGACCGGGAGACCACAGATAAAACACACCTTCACTGTATCATAAAGGAGGTCATTGTAGCCACGTGCCCTGCATAATTGGTGATGGCTTCTGGCTTAGGATAAACGTCAACACCAAATTCACCACCCCACCCAAAGAAACACTAGTTAGCGTGTGAAATGCAAGTTTAGTGAATTAATGTAGATAAACCTCCTGATTAGGGAAGGTGACCCCTGAAACTATCATGTACTCTCAGTGGAAAGAGCTTAAAAGGTTCCTGATGTAGTGGCTTCATGTGTAGCCCAGTGGTTTGCTAAGCAAAAGGTCAGTGGTTTGAATCCAGTAGCTACTCCATGAGAGGAAGATGGGCATTCTTCTCCCACAAAGATTCACATTCTGGGAAACGTGATGGAGGTTTGCTGTGAATTGGAATCAATCTGAGTGACAGCAGATTTTAATGAAACAGTGGTGAGGGACCATTGTGCAAGAGGTTACCTTCAGTTAGGGGCAACTTGAGAGCAGCTGACTACAGCAACAATCAGAAAACTGGCAGGATGCCTCTCCTCCACGTGCTCTATATGGTGAGCTCCTTAAACCTGTTGTCAAGTCCACCAAGAAAATCTCTCCACACATTAAAAAGGTTTGGTATCCTTTTCTTCTCCTTTTATTACACAGTATTATCATTTCAAATGAGCATCTCCATGGTTCCAGAATTCTAATTTCCTGCCTTGATACTTTGAAGGTGACCTTTCATACTGTGTCTTTGTACATATAAACTCACTTCCATTGAGTTGATTCCGACTCGCTGGGACCCTTTACTGGGTTTATGAGGCTAATAAATCTTTTGTCCATGGCTTTGCTGGTAGATTTGAACTTCTGGAAATAAATGGCTTTTAGGTTACCAGTGTGTTACACTCTAGACTATCCTCTAGAGCTCTAGTGATGAGTTTCTTTACACATCCACTATCAGAAGGCTAGATGCTGTATAGGATACACAGTTAATATGGCTCAGCCATCTGGGCCCATCTCTGACAGGTTGGCCCAAAATTCAGCCCACCTCTTTTTAAAAAAAAAAAAATTTATATTTTATATTGGTTTGCTTACAAAGCTCATATACATGTGTTTCACACTATCCTTCATTCACAGTGTTTCATACAATCATTCCTAGACATTATTTTTATAAAATTAATTACTATACCCATCATTACCCTGTCTTTCTAGATCCCCACTTCCTTTACCCCTCTTCCCTCCACCCCCCAAAATTGTGTGACCCTGTGATTTCTGCCCTGCTCATCCGTACCTCTCTGCTTCCACTTTCCCTCCCCCCTTGGATCCTCATACACACTTTACTAGTTATCTATTTCTACAATAATGGTCTTATGTAGTATTTGTCTTTGAGACTGAGTTCACTCAGCATAATGCTCTCCAGTCTTTCCCAAGTTATACAGTAATTTTCAAAATTGTTGCTGCTGAGTGTGAATGTACCACAGTTTCTCAATTAATTTGATTGGTTGGACATTTGGGTTGTTTCCATGTTCTTAAAATTGTGAATAATGCTGCTATGAGTATTGGTATACAAATTTCCATTTGTGTTTCAGTTCTGATTTCTTCAGGGTATATTCCAAGCAGTGGAATAGTTGGGTCATCTGGAATTTCTATGATCAGCTTTTTGAGGAAATATCCAACAGTCAGAGAGGTGGTATCATTTCACAAAGTGTTTAAGAGTTCCTATCACCCCACATCTGATCCAACAATTATTTCTTGCTGTCCTGCTAAACTTTGGCACTGCTACTGGTGTGAGATGGTATCTCATTGTGGTTTTAATTTGCATCTCTCTCATTACCAGTAATTTTGACCATTTCTTCATGTGTTTGTTAGTCATCTAAATGTCTTTCTCTGTGAAAAGTCTATGTCGTTTGCCCATTTTTTCATTGGGTCATCATTCTTTATTTTTTCCATGTGGAAGCCCTGTAGTATTCTGTAAATTTTTGTTAGAAGATCCTTGTATGAGATGGTATAGCCAAGTATTTTTTCTCAGCAGGTTTTCTTTTTACGTTGTTGGGAAAAGGTTTTGACGCACACAGGGATTTAATCTTTAGAAGGTCTTATTTATTTTATCCTCTCCTAGTTGTATATTTCTGGCTGTATTTTTCAGCCTCGTCATACCATATGCTAGGCTTTCTAAGCTTGGTCCAAATTTGACTCTTATGATCATTATGGTTTGGGACTTACCCCTAGGTCTCTAATCCATCTTGAGCTGGGTTGTTTTGTTGTTGTTGTTGTTGTTGTTGTTTGTATGGTGAGAGAGATGTGAATCCTGCTTCAGCTTTCTGCAGGTAGCAGCTCAGTTTTGCCAGCACTATTTGTTGAAGAGGTTGTTGTTTTCCATTTGAAAAGTTTTGTTTCCTCATTGAATACAGTTGTCCATAGATTGTTGTTGTTCTTGTTGATTGCCATCGGCTGGCCACAACTCATAGCGACCCAATGAACAAAAGACCTGAAGCATTTCTATCATCATTTCTCAAAGTTCATAGAATTTCCAGAGGCATGTTGTTTAGGAAAGGAATGCCACGCCTGCTTCTAAACCTGTCTTAAACTGCGAGCTCCACCAAACACTGTCCAGCATGGGTAACAGTTATGCCGCTTGATACCCCAGTGGCACAAGGTTCAGCATCACAGCAACCCTAGGTTACCTCAGTACAGGAAATTGACAGAAAAGTGCTATAACACTTAGGGAATGTCCTCCAAAATATAACAACCAACTTTTAAATACAAAGGCCCTCTACAAGCTCTTGTTGACTCTAAACTATAAGTTTAAATAAAAAACAACATAATATGATATTGTTGTTGTTGTTGTTGTTGTTATATGCCATCAAGTAACCGTGACCTACAGAATCTTTGTGTTCAGAAGCTCTGAACCCTTCCCTGTCCTGAGCCAGTCTAACTAATTCCAACACACCAACTCCCATTGGACTAGTCATTGTATCAATCCATCTCATCGGGGTCTTCCTCTCCTGTGCTGTCCCTCCACCCTTCTGAGCATAATGTCCTTCTCCAAGGACTGATATCTTCTGGCCATGTGCCCCAAGTAAGTGAGGTAGAGCTTCAAAATCCTAGCCTCTAAAGAAAGATTTGGTTTCACCGTCTCCAAGACAGATATATTTGTTTTCTTGGCAGTCCGTGGTATGTTCAAGACTCTTCTCCAGCATCACAACGCGAAGGCATCAATTTTTCTCTCATCCTTAGTCATTGTCCAGCTCTCTGATGTATAAAAGTAATTGCAAAGACCATGGCCGGGATTGGGCACACCTTAGTCTCTAGACTGACATTGTTTTTCAGCACTCTAAAGAGGTCCCTGACAGCAGATTTTCCCAATGCAGTTTGTCTTTTGATTTCCTATCAGAGTGTTGGTTGTAGAGGCGAGCAAGCTGTAATTGCTAACAACCTCAATATCTTCATCATCTATCATAGTGCTGCCAATTGGCCCAGTGGTGAGAATCTTTGTCTTCTTGATGTTGAGCTTCAATCCATATTGAATACTACAATCCTTGACATTCTGCAGCAAGTGCTTCAGGTCTTCTTCAGTTTCAGCAAGCAAGATTGTATCATATGCATATTGTAGGTTGTTGATGAGTCTTCCTTCAGTCTTGGTGCTACATTCCTCCACCTGAAGACCTGCTTCACAAATGATCTGTTCTGCATAAAGATTGAAAAGGTATGAG